ACTGTTGTTGTATGCAAACTCCATGAGTGGCAGGTATCGCTCCCAACCATCCCCGAAGTCGATTGCACACGCACGCATCATATCCTCGAGAATCTGAATCACCCTCTCCGACTGACCGTCTGTCTGAGGGTGGAACGCCGTACTAAAGTGGAGATCGGAGCCCAATGCCCTCTGTAGACTCTTCCAAAACTGTGATGTGTGAATCAAGGGTCACGATCCGAAATGATAGATGACGGTACTCCATGTAGCCTGATGATCTCGTGGATGTATAACTCCGCTAATCGCTGGAGTGAGAAGTCACGACGGATGGGGAGGAAATGTGCTGACTTGGTCAACCGATCAACGATGACCCAAACTGTGTCGTGCTTACGTGGTGACAATGGCAGTCCCACGACGAAATCCATCGTAATGCGATCCCACTTCCACTCGGGAATGGTGATCTGCTGAAGCAATCCTGAAGGAACCTGGTGCTCGGCCTTGACCTGCTGACAAGTCAAACACCACGACGTGAATTCAGTGATCTCCCGCTTCATCGCGAGCCACCAGTAATGTCTCCTAAGGTCCTGGAACATCTTGTTACTACCCGGGTGCATGGTATACACAGTGCTGTGTGCTTCACGAAGCAGGCGTTCTCTCACATCCCCTGCTGGCACAACCATACGCTCCCGATAGTACAAGATACCACCTCAAACTAAAAAATCTGGCTTCTCTCCTCGAGAGACGAGCCCAACGGTCTCGATACAGAAATCATCACTGCTCTGGGCTGAAGCTATCTGCTGCGGTAATGTAGGCTGGACGTGTAGCACAGCTAGAGTCTTACGACTAAGGGCATCGGCTACCACATTCGCCTTACCTGGATGGTAAGCGATGTGACAGTCATAGTCCTTAATCAACTCTAACCACCTCCTCTGCCGGAGATTCAGATCCTTCTGCGTCAACAGGTACTGAAGACTCTTATTGTCGGTGAAGATACGCGTCGTCTCACCGTAGAGATAATGCCTCCAGATCTTCAAAGCAAGTACAATAGCTGCTAACTCAAGGTCGTGCGTCGGGTAATTACACTCATGTGGCTTCAACTGCCGGGACGCATAAGCAACGACCTTGCCCTCCTGCATGAGAACACACCCCAAGCTGTTATGGGACGCGTCGCTGAAAACCGTATACTCCACTCCTGGAGTGGGCTGGACTAGAACGGGTGCCTGGGTCAGACACTTCTTCAGTCGCTCGAAACTCTGCTGACAAGCGTCAGTCCAAATGAACTTGACGTCCTTCCTCATCAGTTTGTGTAGTGGCGATGCTATAATGGAGAAGTCCTTCACGAACCGTCGATAGTAACCCGCCAGTCCGAGAAAACTCCTCACCTCACGTGCATTCCGCGGAGTCTTCCACTCCGTGA